ATATAAATTAATATTTACTATTATTTATGCTTATTTTTCAAAATACATGAATAATACACTATATACATTGTATAATACATGTATAATACATGACGGAAAAAATATCATGTATTATATCCACCCTACTTGTCAGTAATAATAACAGATTTATATTTATTGGTAAGTGATAACAAGTAGCCTACAGCTTAAAAGTGTAATAGTGTTATGAGATACATAAGTAAAAAGTAAAGGATCTTGTTTTTACACAGTATACTATATGGGCTTTATTAGGAAGCTTAGGTTAACTAATAGGATTTCTATGGTTACTGTTAAACTACTGAATGAATTGGTTCCTTGTATTGGACAGAACATATCCAGATCAATATTCAACATTACCGACTAGTGCCAAGGTCAGCGCTGGTGATAACTAGTTTCAAAATTGTTTGTAAGACCGGTATGTTTACAAAATGACAAAAATGCAAGAATAATTAATTTGATTATTTTTGATTTGTATTCAACAAAGAATGTATATTGATAAAATAAGGATTTCAATTCATTGAATTTGTGAATAGCATGTATAAATATTATAATTAGATTATATACATCTCTAACTAAATATTTAAATATTTAAATATTTTATTAGTTAAACATTAAATAAAACAATTAGACAAAACTTGAAAAAGTATTTATGATTTTTGTCAAATTAATTTTATAATTACAATATACTGTAACAAATAATGGGTTTAAAAAAACTTTATAATTCTTACTAATACAGTACTAATATATTAATACAGTATTAAAATATTGTTTTTAAAAATTTTGATTTAATTACAATTACAAATAAATCAAAATGATATTTAATTATAACAACATATAGAAATTGATCTTATATAATCCATGTAACCGAGGTATTCACTAATTTAGTCAATTACTTTCAAGTTTCTTAACCTCTCCTTCAGAATTAAATAGTTTTTGAACGAATTTTCCGCCATTTCCTATAAACAACAATATATTAATTAATTTAATTTCAAAAATAATAATTACCATTGCCAATTTTGTTGAAAATATCTTGCTAGTTGTTATAGTTTTAATAATTAAAATACTCCCAAAAAATGTCCAGATCAATTGGAAAATTTTAATTTCTTTCACAATGTGTTCGATTGAATTGATTCTGTTTTTGGAGAATTCTTTACCGAAAATTCTTTCGCATTCCTTAACGTATATCTCAACCAATGGATTGAATACAGAGTCGTCTTGTGGGAGACCATCGATGGACTTGAAATCAAACTGTTTTCGTCCCCATTCGCTGAGTATAGACACAAAATCAAAGCCCCGGAGACCATAACTGGCGTACTCGAAATCACATACAACTATCTGATCACCAGGGTTATTACTTGTGTCAGTAATCATTAGATTGCTTGACCGGAAATCGTTGTGAGTGAACACCACTGGACTCTCGGACTTTTGGCATAAATCCNCACTGGACTCTCGGACTTTTGGCATAAATCCTTAATATATTCGATGTGTGCCTTAAAATCGCATTCTTTTAATAGTTTGCAATTGTATTCATCGAGCCATTGATTGTAGGAAACGCTGTTATCGACAATCCATTTGTACGACTCATACATATCATTGATGAACCAAATGGTGCCGCGCCTGATGGGCACATCCATGGCGTGAATTCGGGCCAACTTTTGAAACACTTCGGTCACTAGTTTGGGATCTTTCTGTTCTTCAGGTTTAAACTGTCGGTGCTTTACATATAAGAAAATATCATTAATAAACCTTTCAATCAAATTACTGAATATACAATACATGATAAAACTGTTGTATTTGTCCGCTTTCGAAGAGTCCGTATATTTTAGGCCCCAATTTGTTTTCAGATATCATAATCGATATGATAGTATCGGTGAGTCTCTCATTACCCGGGTTCTCACCCTTATTAAAATGCTTGGGTCCATACAGTCTGATGGCTACCTCTTGTGGCACATCTGACTTATTCAATGGGTTTCTAATCCCGCAATAATACAACTGATTAGTCAATCCCCCCGAAACTCTTCGCACTTCAATTGTGTCCAATGTTTGTTGCGTCCAATTGCCTGACAAATAATCCTTACATAACTGTAAGCACTTATTATTAATGTCTTCGGGTGTGTCTCCCATAATGAGATCCAGTTTATTGAAATCCAAATCATCGATTGATTGGATGTCTCCAATCCTTTTCGGACAGTTCTGGTTCTCATCGCATATATTCTCAGTAACTCCTGATGACATGGTTTGTGATTAAGATAATAGAAAAACTTTTGTAAAAATATATTTTAACAAATCCTTGTGTTCGTCCAAACAATAATATTTTTATAGTTTGTTATTTTCAAAAACTTTCCTTTAAATAACTATCAATTTATTAGCTAATTATAAGCACACGATTTAATGATTACTTTATAATCGTTATCTAATAACTCGATAACATTTCATAAGACATGATTTAATGGTATGAAAACTAGTTTGAGATAACTTTATCACTGCCCGAATTGCATC